CATAAATTTACATGCACACACCATACTAAAAGAAAAGTAAAAGAAATAAATGAACTTAGTGCAAAGCTGGAGTGTACATTTACCAATTTGATTATGGTACTAAAATTGTTATGTCTAGTGCAAGTTATAGCATGTTTAAATTCAAATTAATCACTATCTTACAAGAATCCCAGCTATGTAAATTATATTCACCCAGGTCATTTCACTGGCTTTTTATAAGAAAGAATCCTAGTCACTTAAGAACTGATAAATAAACACGCATTAGACCTGGGCCAACTGTCAAACATACTACCTCACACCCGCTCCCCTCCACCCCACGCCCCCTCCCTCCCTCTCCCCCATCTGCCCAGCATTGCTGGAATCCTTGTAAAACAGTGAATAATTTTAATATAAACGTCATGTATTTTGCACAAGAGATAAAAATTAATCACATGAATCATATTACAATAATGATTTAGGAGTAAAAGTGTATATGTACGTATATAGTATTCCACATACACGTAAGTATAAATACAAAGTTTATGTGATGATCGGACAACATCACGTTTCCAAGAACGTATCTAGGACGTTAACCGGCGTATGTATGTATGTATGTATGTATGTATGTATATGTACACACGCACGCACGCACACACACACACACACAGTGATCCTCGGTCAACGAATTACCTTCCATAAGATTCTTCAATTCAGTTAACGAGCAATCCCTCGATTAACGAATTCCTTACAAGTGCCCCTCCACATGTTTTCACTTGCTCACTAGCTGTCGTATTAGTCCGCCAATACATTAATCGGTTCTCGGGCTTAAATTCCTTACTATTTTAGTAAATATCAAGAAGTTTGTACTATTCAATAATTTTAAGCCTTATATTAAAATTTTTAGTCACCAAACAGGCGTTAGTCTCTGTGTCTTGTCAGTGGCAGTAACATGCTGCTTCACTCTCTCTCCAACATAAATTTTTTTTCCGTTTTTACAGTGAAATTATTGGTCATTTTGAAATTTATTTTACATATTGATGATAAATAGCGCAGTGCAGTGTTGATTTAAAGAAAATATTTTTTATTTATAGCAATTAAACTTAAAATTTAAGTGGTGAAATTGTTATTGAATCCAGCATGGGTCCAAAGAAATCTAGAAAGGCGATTTCAATCCAAGTGAAACAGGAAATTATTAAGAAATATGAAGATGGCATTAGAATAAATGTGCTTAGCAAAGAATATGGCATGTCGATATCAACTGTGTCGACAATTCTTGCACAGAAAGACAAACTCAAGGAAGTGAAAGTGAGAGACAAATCTACCTGGGTGTTTAAAGGTACATCCCTAATAGCATAAACGGAGACGTTACTTCTCATATGGATTAGGGAAAAACAAATGAAAGGTGATTCATTTTCGACCGAATTTATTTGTGAAAGAGCCAGGGAGATTTACGAACATTTAAAGGCAGATTAACCTGGTACTTCAGGCACAGAGTTTGAAGAGTTTAAGACCAGCAAGGGCTGGTTCGAAAAATTTAAAAAAAGAAGTGACATTTTTAGTGTTGTTAGGCATGGAGAGGCTGCCAGTGCTGATAAAGAAGGGGCAGCAAAATTTTTAGTGGAATTTAAAGAACTGGTGGATAAAGAAAATTATCTTCCACAGCAAGTGTTCAATGTGGACGAAACTGGGCTGTTCTGAAAAAAAGATGCCCAAAAGGACATTCATCACCAGAGATGAAGCCTCTTTACCTGGGCATAAACCCATGAAAGACCGTCTCACTCTATTACTTGGTGCCAATGCTTCAGGGGATTTCCGACTGAAGCCTATGCTTGTCTACCACTCTGAGAACCCCAGGGTGATCAAGCAACAAAAAGTGGTAAGAAGACAGGTTGGAGTTTATTGGAAGTCCAACCGTAAGGCATGGGTGACAAGACAGCTCTTTAATGAATGGGCTGTTGAGGTGTTTTGCCCTTCTGTCAAGAGCTACCTAACCACCAAGGCTCTTCTCCTTGTGGATAATGCCACTGGTCATGACCCTGAACTTGCCAGCACTTTGGAGTCTCAATTTAATTTTGTGAAAGTGTTGTTTTTCCCTCCCAACACTACATCAATCATACAGCCAATGGACCAGAATGTGATCAGCAACTTTAAGAAGCTGTACATGAAGAAAATGTTCAAGAGGTGAACTAACACTGGCACAGTTCTGGAAGAAACAACTTAACATCCTGGAGGCTGTAAAATTGATTGTGCCCTCATGGCAAGAAGTCTCCACTAGATCCCTCAATTCTTCATGGAAAGCACTGTGGCATCAGTAGTCCATGATTTTGAGGGATTTGAGGAAGAAGCAGAGTTGGACAAGGAGATTGTGTCCATTGGTCAGTCATTGGGCCTTGAAGTGGAGGAGGATGATGTAGAAGAGCTTGTGATGTCTCATGAGCAGGAACTTACTCCTAAAGACTTGCAGCAACTGGATGAGATGTTAGAGGCTGACAGTGGTGAGGAGGAAAAGGAAAGTGATGACCATATGTCAACTTCAGATTTGAAAGATGTTGTTCATTACTGGGAGAAGTTCAGGAAACTGGCTTCAAGACACCTTAATATGGAAAAAGCAGAACTTGTTCTGTGTAATGTTGAGGACACAGTGGTCTCCTTCTTCAAACATCAGTTAATGATGAGGAGGAGAGATGCCCCAAACAAAAATTGACAGTTTCTTCACTAAAAGGCAGCGGGAAACAGATGCTAGCCCTCAGCCTTCCACTTCAAGAAGGAGAGAGGATGTTTCTGCTGGAGAATCTGTCAGTCCAAAGGTTCCTGACATTTTCATGGAAGGTGACTCACCTTCCAAGAAGCAGTAAAATGCTTCTCCTCCACCTCCACTTACTTCTCTTCTCCCTTCTCCTCCTCCACCTCCCACTTCAAATTCGTATCAGCATCATCATCCAGGAGCCTTCTACATACACACCTCAAAGTAAGTGTACTTTACTACCTTTTTTGTTGACTTTATGCAATTTTCGGTGAGCTGGAACCAATTACCCAAAATCCCATTGAAACAATGGTTTTGGTTAACGAGCAACCTTCTGGAACAAATTGTGCTCGTTAACCGAGGGACCACTGTATATTCAAACTAATCATTCTGGAACAAATTGTGCTCGTTAACCGAGGGACCACTGTATATTCAAACTAATCACTTTCTTATAAGAATTCCAGCAATGTTAATTATATTCTCCCAGGTCAGTTCAGTGACATTTTATAAGAGAAAACTTAAGGTCACTCTTAAGGACAGATAAATAAATAAGCACGAGACCTTGGCAGCAACTATCAAACATATCACCTCACCTCCCCCTCATCTTCCCATCAGCTGATTGCTAGTAAACACACCATTTCATGTCCCACAATTTTAGCTGTGATGATTTATGAGTGTTTGTTTTACCATAATACTACAAAAAACAATGTTTTGTTTATTCTAGATGGGCTGAGGTGCATCTGGGTAGACTCTCAGTCTTTTTAGTATTTTGTGTTTCTCTCAAGTACCAAACTAAATTATTCCATTGAAACAACACTTCGATTTAGTGCGAATTCGGTTTAAAGCGACCTCTCTTGGAACGTATCTTGTGTTATATCGACGTTCTACTGTACTGTCAATAAAATGTACAACATGCTTTGCTATCAAGTTTGAAAAAATTTACTTGTCAATATATAGATTATGTAATAATAAATTATCAGTAAAAGTAAATTGTCATTACTCACCAAGTGTACGGTGTACAGTGGTCCCTCGGTTAACAAACACAATTCGTTCCACAGTCGTTTGTTCACCGAAAATTTCGTTAACCGAATCCATTGTTTCAATGGGATATTGGGTAATTGGTTCCAGCTCACAGAAATGTACATACAAAGTAAAAAAAAATGCAGTGAAGTGCACTTACTTTAAGGTGTGTCTGTATGTTCCTGGTTGATGATGATGATGGGAATTAGAAGTGGGGGTGGAGGAGAAGGGAGAAGAGAAACAAGTGGGGATGGAGGAGAAATCACCTTTCAGGTGACCCATGCTTGATGCAGTAATTTCACCAATAAAATTTTAAGTTCACAAGGTGTAAGTCAAGATTATTTTATTTAAATTAACACTGCATTGCGCTATATATTACCAATATGTTAACTACATTTCAGAATGACCAATAATTTTAATGTAAAAATGCAAAAATATTCAAGACACCAACAAAATTGATGTTCACTCGACTGTCAACAAAGCCAAACTGACGCCTGGTGGCCGAGTCAAGTGGCTGATGGGCGCACAAAAAACTAGTTCCCTGTACTGTATATATTATCAATATGTTAACTAAATTTTAAAATGACAAAAAATTTTAATATAAAAAAATGCAAAAATATTAAAGAGCACAACTTTCATGATATTTATTCCTCCACTGGAAATGAATGTGAACATAGAACAGATTACTGAATTGGCAGACTAGCCCATCAGCTGCTGCTCACAACAAAATGTGTTTGTCGTAAGAATTTCGTTAATTGAAGTTTTGTTCGTTAACCGAATTGAAGATCCTAATGGGAGGTAATTCGTTAAAAAAAATTTCGTTAATCAAACTGTTCGTTAACCGAGGGACCACTGCATCTCAAATATTTATACGCTTGAAGGAACTGTATTGTTGTGATTTGTTTATATCACATTCATGTGCCCCAGTAACATTTGTTTGTAAGAAAACCGTAGTTAACACCAAAAAGATATTTTAACATTTTGAAAATGCTACAATTAAGTAAAACTTGTTTGCGAGTGCTGTTTAAAAGTAAGTGTTTGTAAGTTTAGATGACACCGAGGACGTAGCTTTCAAACTGTGGTTTAGGGGGTCGACTTAACTGCGTTGTATAGGCCTAGATCAACAGTTTTAGTTGAAATAATTAAGATCGTCTTATACACCAGTTCGACTTATAGGCCACAATATACTGCATAAAAAACATATATTCAATCCACTATTCTTTTATGTATGAAAATACTTAAGAACAGATATCTATACTTAAGTTGATGGAACACAGCAGAGGAGAGGAATTTGTCCCAGCAATAATGTTTGTCATCATGGTGCTGACATGCACGCTCCCATTCCTCATACACAGTCACCAACAGCAGGTGATCACTCTTATTCCCTCCACTTAACTTTCTCTTCACCTCATCGACTGCACGTTCTTTTCCCTGAAAAGAAATGGTACAGCTATTAAAGACACTTTTAAATTGTATGCAATTTTATGTCTAAATAAAATCAAGGAAAAATTTCACAAATGTTCCATCCTCTGTGCCATTACAGTACAGCATATCTATTCATAAAAATAAATAAATAATTTCCTCTACCTCATATAATAATTGTCACAAACCCTATTAGTCTTAACTCTCTCAATAATTTTCTCTACAGTGCTTACATGTAATGATGGTGCTAAAAAAGGTTTATGGTAACATAACATTTCACTCATTTATTGGTATAAAATGTAAGAAACATGATGGAAAACAATCTTTTTCTATGTACATTCATTCACAGAGGCACATGCCCCCTACATTCTACAGTCAAGGGGTGAAAAAAGAAAAAAGTAAGTAAGTAAATGGGCTACCACAATTGTGTATTTTCCTCCAGCCTCCGGTAAGATTTACTCCACCTTTGAGAAAGGACTATCACATATGTCCATCTCCAATTTCAAACCATAACAACAAACATGGAATAACTCTTACGGATGAAAGGCTACTAAAGAGGGAAGGCTGCATCAGCAGTTTTTCCCTAGTGGGGTATTCCCTTATTTTGACAATAAGAGAAGCTTCTGCTTCATTATTCCATAAGGTATGCTGATGCACATTCATTGCCATTCTGGTGAACTGATGCACCATGCAGTAGGGAAGGTCTTTGGTATATAAGTAAACAGGAATCAAATAACAGTTTATTAATCTTCAGGTAAATACAGCAAACCCTCGATAACTCAGCATTTCATATACTATAACTTGGCACGGATATGGTCTCGGAATATATTATAGTATAACTCGGGAAATGTCGAGATACAGCATGCCCTTCAAATTCGCAAGAGTTAGGTTCTCAAAATGGCCGCGAATCGCCAAATACGCGAATAAAATTTGCTGAACGAGGGGTGGGTGTGTGTGTGTGTGTGTGTGTGTGTGTGTGTGTGTGTGTGTGTGTGTGTGTGTGTGTGTGTGTGTGTGTGTTAATTTTTTTACTTGTGTACAGAGAAATGTATATTCCCTCTGTGTTTGCCCTTAGGACAACTATTTTTTTTTACCTGTACAGTGAGTTCTGCTATAACGCGTGTTTTGATAACGCGAATTTGCTCTAACGCGATTTATGAATTAGGACCGATATTTGTATAACGCGAACGCTTGTTTGCTATAACGCGATTTTCTCTTACTATTTCTCCAATTTTGTGGTATTAACTGTGAATATTGTAAAGAAGAATATCAACAAGAAGCGTTCTGGTGATAGAATTCCCGGTGATGATCGTAAAAGAAAGGATATAACACTTGAAGAGAAGCTCGATTTTATCAACCTCAAAATCACCCTTCTCCCCCATCAAGTAAAGTGTTATATTTACTGTATGATTTCATTATTAGATATGAATATAACATTTATTTAGACTGTGCTATCCTTTGTGTATGGCTAACTACTAAATTTTTTCGATTTCGAGTAATCTGCACCTAACCCTATTTTCTCCATAAGCCCTGTTATTTCTATTACGCGATTTTCTATAACACGATATTTTACAAGAACACAATTATCGCGTTATAGCAGAACTACCTGTATTGTATATATATATGTGTGTGTGTGTGTGTGTGTGTGTGTGTCTACACACACACACACACAAAACACATACAAATAAAAAAATAATTGGAAATCCTCTCACAAATACAGGTAGTCCCTGACTTACGACTGACTCAACTTACGTCAATCCGCACTTACGACCTGCTCTGACCGTACGTACATACGACCGCCGCAGTCGTGACCAAAATTTTTTTCAAATGACGCGCGCATTTTCTATACTGAAACGTTTCTGTCCTGGGCAAGAGCGTGGCTTGTTGGGTCACCGCGTGGGTACAGCTCCCACTCAGTAGAGCGCTTTGTTGGTGTTTGGCTATCATATCCTATACTGATCGCGCTGTGAACTTACATTATTATCGTATTTAATTGACTTTATAATGACTGGAAAGCGTACAAGTGAGAGTGCTGGTGGTGCTCCAAAGGAAAAGAGACAGGCAATTACTTTTGAGATGAAAATGAAGATAATAATGCAGTATGAGAATGGAAAAACTGTAGCAACAATCTCACGCGACCCAGGTTTCTTACACTCGACCATATCCACTATTCTGAAGGACTAGGAACGTATTCATGATGCAGTGAAAGGAACAACACCTATAAAGGGAACTATAATTTCGAAAAAAAGACGAGGTCCTATTCACGATATGGAAAAATTATTGGTGATATGGATAGAAGACCAAATACAGAAGCGTGTATCCTTAAGCCTTTTAACCTTACAGGCTAAAGCAAGAAGCCTGTTCCAAAGCCTGAAGGAGCAGGCAGGAGATGAATATGAGCAAACCTTTACAGCAAGTCATGGGTGGTCTAATAGATTTAAAAAATGCTACAGTTTACATAATGTTAAGGTGGGTGGAGAGGCAGCTAGTGCTGATGTTGGTGCTGCCGAAGCTTTTAAGGAGGAGTTAGATGAAGTGATTATGGAAGGAAATTACTTGCCTGAGCAAATATTCGATGTGGATGAGACTGGATTATTGTGGAAGCCCATGCCTGAGCGGACATACATCCACAAAGAGGCAAAAACAATGCCAGGATTCAAGGCATTCAAGGACAGAATTACACTTCTGTTGTGGGGGAATGTTGCTGGTTTCAAGCTAAAGCCCTTCATGATCTATCATTCAAAGAACCCAAGGGCTTTTAAACATGTCAGCAAGCACACACTGCCAGTGTTTTATCACAGTAACAAGAAAGCCTGGATGACCATTGTATTGTTTGAGGATTGGTTCATGAATTTTTTCATTCCTCGAGCCAAGGAGTATTGCCTGCAACAACGGATTCCATTCAAGATTTTGCTGATTTTGGATAATGCTCCGGGACACCCACCACACCTGGACGACATGCACCCTGATGTTAAGGTAATGTACAATCCACCTAACAATACCTCTGTCATCCAATCCATGGACCAAGGTGCTATTGCTGCCTTTAAAGCATATTATTTACGTATGACCTTCGCTCAGGCTGTTGCTGCTACTGAAGGTGAGAAAACGCTCAGAGAGATTTGAAAGGAGTACAACGTTTTGTCATGTATAAAGAACATTAGTGCAGCATGGGACCAGGCTACAAAACATTTCATGAATGGAATATGGAAGAAAGTCCTGAAAAGATAGTGGAGTTAGGTAAACAGCTTCAGTTACAAATTGATAATGCAGATGTTGAACAGTTGCATGAAAGTGTAGCAGAAGAGCTTAGTAACGAAGATCTCATTGAACTGGAAGCACACAAAGATGCAGAGGAAGAAGCCAGTCTAAATGTAGAAGAAGGAGCTGCACCCCCAAAAAGTTTTCAGTGAAGCAAATGGCAGAGGCATTTGCTACAATTAATAAAGGGATGCAAATGTTTGATGGCATGGATTAAAATTATGAGCGTTTTGCCAAATTGACAGAATGATCCAAGATGCACTTGCTTGCTACAGGGAAATTTATGATGAAAAGAAAAAGCAAACTGTGCAGTCTAAATTGGACATCTATTTTAAGAAATCCCCCAGTGCTGTCTCCTCACACCCCACCAGTGCTGCCTCTTCACTCCCTCAAGATGATCCAATACCTTCAACCAGCAAATTTCCACAGTACATAAACCTGTCTGAAGAAAGCAACATTGATGACCCACCCAGCCCTGTCTCCTCTGCTTCATCCAATTAATATAGTCTCCATGTATCCTGTAAATAGAAAATTATGGGGGCCCCGTGTGCATTCAGCTGACTACATTAAAGGTAAGTGCTGAATCACACTGTATCCATTCCTCATTATTTATTACTTTTACAGTACTGAATCCATTCCTCATTATTTATTACTTTTACTGTACTGTATCCATTCCTCATTATTTATTACTTTTACTGTACTCTATCCATTCCTCATTATTTATTACTTTTACTGTACTGTATCCATTCCTCATTATTTATTACTTTTACTGTACTGTATTTCATTGTAGATTTTTATTTTAATCTATGTCGGACTTACGACCTGGATTTGGGTCCCTAACCCCGTCCTAAGTCGGGAAGCACCTGTAATCAGAAACAAATTTATAAAAAATGTGAGTCTACCCTCAAGTCTACTTTTGTGAGAGGATTTTCCCATTATTATTTATTTGTATGTGTGTGTCTACACACAAACACACACACACATACAGTACAGTTAACCCTCACTTTACGCGGTCCCGCATTCCGCGTTTCCACGTTTACGCGGTGCCCTGCCGGAACCCAGGATGCTCACATTCCGCGGTGCGTGTACCCCTTTACGCGGAGAGCGGCTGGCGAGCCGCGCCATTTTTGGATCCAAACCTCCCGCCATCCGCCATGTTGTGTAAGCTGCGCGAACATGGTGCGCACAAGGTCGCCCAGTCATCAAAACATTACCAGTTCTTCACCCGCCACCCACCACAGCCGGCCCAAGTCAGTGATAGTGATAATTATGGTGAGGATATGGACTTATATGGACTTTGGGGAGTTTGACAAAGAGGCCCTGCAAGCCTCTGTGGTGGATAGTGATACAATTGATACAAGTGACACAGGTGAGGGCCAATAATCTGCCCTCTGCCTCGGAACCAACCGCCCATCCCCGTGTGCCCAGCCATTTTTTCTACTAATGTAAGTGTTAAAAAACCTAATATTATTGATATTTCTCTTAATTATTCATTGTGTGTGCATACCATCATAAAGTTAAGATAATATTTTTACTACAACATAGTTGTGTGTCGTCAAAAAGTGGAGTTTGGGGATCGGCCTGGACTCCATTTCAATTAATCCCATATGTTATGTTATTCACTTTACGCGTTTCTCACTTTACGCGGGACCCTCCGGGTTACATTAACCGCGTAAAGTGAGGGTTAACTGTATATGCAATACAGGTAAAGGAAATTACTATCTCTAGAACGAATGGCTCCCTGTTCCAGC